GCTCTCCAAAGGAATTACAGATGGCTCACAACCGATTGTCTCAATTTTCAAGAGTTACTCCTCTTCATATGCAACCCTACAGAGCTGCTCTAGGATCTCACAGGGTTGCTGCAGAGCTGAATTTATGCCCCTGTGTCTGCATTCAGTGCCTAAGCCATCGTGTCAGCCTTTCCTCCCCATTTCCCTAATTTGGAGGCACATGGGCTAGCTCTGGAGTTGCTTACGCTGTGATTAATGCCTGCAGAGTTAGTGTTAAGACATATAAATTCAAAAGCCTTGAGGAAAAGGAACTTTTACTTTCCAGCAGCGTCTTGAAGCCCACCCTTCCCAGCAGAGGAGCCAAATGCAGTGCTCTCCCCTGTAGCCACATGCTAAATCATTTAGTGGCCTGGGCTGTGGCAACAAAGTGAATTGCATATTAAAGAGCCCTTGAAGCAGTGAATCATGATGAAACACGGAGAAAGCAACCAGTTGTGAATACAAGAAGTGCTAGCAAGCACAAGACGCCTCTCAGAAAAGGACATGGGAGGCAGACACTTTGAGCGCAGATACTTGGAAATACCCAGTCAGAGGAGGTTTCATGACACCGCAGGATGTTGTAACTTCAGTTGCTGCCAGCTGGTTCATTTTGCAAGCCCTAATAACCACCAGGAGTGGTACACACCCATCTCAGAACAGCAAAGGATGATCTGCCCAGAGGTGGCCAAGCTGGTGCTCCTGAAGTACACGGGCAGTTCAAGCATGGCTTAGGCAAGCCATCCACGATCAGCAGCGTGGGCTGCCATGGGACTGCCAGACAAGCCAAAACCAGAGGGATTTCCCTGGCAACGAAATGCCTAAAGAGTAAAAATGGCCACTGAGCAAAATCCTTCGAGCAGAATAGGTGTTTCTTCAAGGTCAGCAAGCGCAACCGCTCTGCAAAGGGTTGTGCTCAGCACAGATCTATCACACTTGAGCATTCTCACATTGCAGGGACAGGAAGGGTTGTATTTCTAGGGTGAATTTAGGGGTGTCAATGGCTTGGTTAGGCATGTCAAGGGCTGCTAACCTCCATCCTGTATTCATCCCAACGCCAGGCTCTCCTCCAGATGATAATCCGCCTACTTAAAACATGTCTTCAGTCTAGCACCAGAAGTGTTCATCAGTTGTGTTTTCTGTCCCAGAGCTGTCTTCACTTTAGTTAACAACAGTGATTAATCACTATCGCAATTGGTGCATCCCAAGAGACCTCCCTGGCTTTTAATTATTGTTGTGCTTACAGAAGGGTAAACTGAGTCCTTAGCCTGAAAAATGGTTTGTCCAGAAAGCCACTTAGGACGTCGTTGGGAAATGTGGGAATGGGTGCTGATCCTCTGCAGCCTCCAGTATCCAGCACTAATCTACTTTACTGTCAACAAAAGACACAATTAAAGAGCTGACCAATGACTTCTACCACATCCACAGGGGCTTTTTCACTCATCACCTGGTAGGGACACGAAAGTATGAGAGAGTAATAAGCCATCTGACATTTTGCTTGCATTGACATCAGACAGCTAAAGACAGACAAAATCAAAACACTTCTTTGCACTGCGTATGAAATGACAAATGGATGCCAACGGTCATGGTCACAGCCATGTGTGTCATCTGCCTTCTCCTCAGCGGGACAGAGAGGTGCCCGGGATGCTGAAGGGAGCAGGAGAAGACAAGCCTATGCTTTTCATTGTGTCTTATCCCTGTGAGCAAGCACAGGCTGGAAAAGGGGAAAATGGGAAGTCTCATTCCCTCTAAAAGGATTGCACTGGGAACTGCTTTGTCTTCAGATCACCCATGTCACATCTGCTGAGGAGGAGCTAGGGGAGAGAGGTCTGGGATCATCACCATGAACAAAGGTTGGGTTTCTACA